TGCTTAACATTCAAATCAAGGATGCGCATTTCATCCCCATGTATTAAAAGCAAAACTAAAGCTACAAATAAAAATGTGTGAAAATATTTTTCATCTATACACTGAGTGTAAAGTAACAGTTTTAATTTTACTAGTCATTTAGTAAGGTTATAATCTCTTGTATTAATAGATTAGGTAATCCACATTACCTAGTTATGGAGCTTTGTAACAACCATTAAAATAATCAGAAGCTCTACTGTAACAATATGAGTATTTAGTTCTGATGAATTAAGTGTCAAAGCTGTCATTAATAGTTTTTATTCCAGCTAAAATTGGTTAGAAGATTATTTAAACCGATTTGGAATGCACAGTTTTCTCAAACCAGCTTTGACACCACGAATACGAGTCAACAGTTTGGTTTAGAAAGTGACTAAAGGAAACGGTGTGGAACACTGAGGTCTTAATAGAATGTAGCCTGGATTACCATGCTTTTAGCCCTGAGGGATCATTGGAGCACCAATAAACAAGAACAAAACAACCGTATTCAAAGGTACTTTAACTGTGTTCTCAGTAGGTAATGATGATAATTTTTCAGAATGTATAAGGCAAACTGTGAAGTCACATCATTATCCGGTGGGCGCCGATGATAAATGATTTTGGAAATCTTGTAGTTTTGAATGATGCAGCAGGTCCATCAATTTTAACCAACCAGTCAGTCATAGGCACCGTAAAACATTACGTATACATAAACCAGTTCAAGTTAATGCAACATACGAGTACATTAAAATGAGATTATTAAGGCATATTCTACATAATTAGAGGTATAAACAGTTTCATTTCTAGTGACCTACCTGACTAGTATTAGGAAACATCATGCATAATAAGTTTGAAGTTTGGAATCTAAGATAAGGCAAAGAGAGAATGCATTTACATCCTGATGGCCGATTTTGGGCTTTAAAGCATAAACCTTTGATCATATTCCCAACTAGATGGTCTTCATCTACTGAAACGCCTCAGATCAATACTCGATAACTTCATGGTCTTAGTTTTCATCCCACGCACTTTTTCAGTAGTAGATAGTTAGGTGTACGAGACTAATGTCCCAACTAACTTAATTGATAAATAATCACTACCTCATCAACTGATTCTTATTTTCACCTAGTGCCCAGTGGTCTCAATATATGGGACAAATGCTTCCGGAAAATACCTAATCAGATACTAACAACCTCCAAATCTCCTATTTTTACAGGCTGTTTCACAGCCAGAAAGTAAGACTGAGTGAAATGACACACAGAAAATCTACCCTTCAGCTGACAGAAAGACATCTGACCTATAAAACTCGTGAGGTAAGTCTATGAAAACTCTCTATTAATATATGTACTTTCTAATTAAGTGAATCAAGGTAAATTTTTCATTTTCTAAAATGTAAAGTTTGCTGATATGATTTCAACTACTTGCAAGTAGTTAAACATAATTTACTTCAAATGTTGTGATTAATAAATATGAAGTCGATAAGCCAACAATAGATATTTTGGTCTATTATAAATTGAAACAGCACACGAAGTTAGAAAGCATGGCACTTATTATTATTGAATAGTAGTGAGTGACGGTTTGAGAGCAACTTAGTCCCAAGATATTCATTAATTTCCAAGAACAATAAAATGTTTACGGCTTCTTTGCTATATGGCGAGTAATTATCATTTTCTGATATTTCAGATAGAGAAAGCAGATCTCATAGGCATAAAGTGGTTGGTTGATTGGATTGCTCGATCAAATGAATATCTTCACTATTGTCTTGTGATTATAAGTAACGGAATCATTGAAAGATTTTATACATATCATCATTGGTAATCTCACATTGGATGGCAAAACTTGTTCCAACTTGTTCCACATATAAAACTACTGTTTCACATTTTAGTAAACAATTTTATAAACTACACAATCATCCGGAATAAGATAGTTATTCTACAATTCTATAAATATTCCATTTCAAGTAATTCTAGTCAAATCTCAGATCATATGTCATTCAGTTAATCGATTGTTAAGAAAGGACTATATACTTGTGAGAAGAAAATATATATCTATATACATTGTTTGATCTAATTTACGCTAAAAAGATGGACTGTCCCATCTTAAAACTGAATTACTGAATTCTACTTCTCGAATCATATCTTTGTACCCTAATCTTCTCCATTACTGCTAATACTTCCACTATTTCTATCACTCCTGGGTTTGAGCTGACAGTTGCGGCTCTGTGCTGATGGGGCATGGCAACCTGAACTGATGTACTTACATACGAAGTTCTGCGTTGTATCTGTCTGTCTGTCCCATCTTGGCTTCCGTTTTCTTTAACCGCAGTAGTATTGTATTAGGATACTTCTTTTCTATTAACTTCAATTACAGAAGACAGTTAGTAGATTCGAATAATGATGTAATCAATTAATGCATTTACTGTGACAAATAAGTCTTGTGAATTTCAAATTTCATAATTTTAGGCATTAAAACAAAATTATACAATTGTGTCTTCTATTAGAGAACATTAATATGGCAATGAATAAAATACAGTAAAGGTGTATCAATGTGATTTCTAAGCATAAACTATATGGTGTTGTTGAATTTCCAAAATCAAATTTACCATATTTTTTTACTGAACTGATTATGAATAATCCTTCAATTATAATGCATGATTCAATGTTATTGTTTATATGAATGTATTTTTAAGTTGTCTATGGAGTCCTAGCAGTCATATGATCATAATCGTCATCAAACGTCTAACAGCCATGTGGGACAGTTTTGACTATTTTTTTCTAACTATTCTATCAACAATTCTTCTTTGCATATGATTACTCTTAGTTAGAACAACATTATTTTACTTTTACATTCATGCTGTTCTTTGTCAAATTGAAAATACTTAAAATCCAGTTGAGTAGAATAAGAGAAACTTTAAATACAATTTAGGAAAAAAAGAACTATTTGCATTCTAAATTATTCGAGAAACCCAGCACATTGTGAAATTCATCGTCTACTTTGCAGAAATATTCAGTTTAATGAATAAAGTGAAGAAAAAATGATAAGGTTTCTTATTGGTCTAACCACTGTAATTGTGTAACATAATTTAGCGCCTTCATGAAACCAGAGAGTCTACCGATCACACTAATGAATGTTTATTTAAAACTAATAACAGATATCAGAAAGATAATGAATAGAAGACATAACCGTAAAACTTTATTAGAATGTTTGCAATTTGCACAGTTGTATGGTTCTTATTGATTGTAGTTAGTTAGTTAGTTAGTTAGTTAGTTAGTTAGCTATTTAGTTAGTTAGTTAGTTAGTCAGTTAGTTAGTTAGTTAGTTAGTTAAATAACTCAATAAATAATACTAATCACTTCAAAAATGTGTAAATTTGAATAAAAATTAATATTCGTTTGGTATTCAAATTTGTATCCCTCAATGACATGATAAAAAAGACAATGTTATTAAATTGTACTAGTTAAAACTTATCACTAAGATATTCACACTGTTTAGCTTTTAATTATCGACTAATTTACAAAAAGCGAAATAAGTTTAACTAAGGTGTACATATATTGATATTGATTATGCATAACTGAAGGTTTTATATCTCTGTAAGAAAGTTCATTTGCCTTATTTAGTTGGCTTAAGTGAAAATAATCAACCTCAAAAAAGGTGTAAAGTGATCTCATCTCAAATGACAATGGTCTTAACTTCAGAATAGTTTGAAATAAGTAATGAAGTTAGTTTAGATTTGAACACGTATACATTTTGGTACTTCATAGTACTTATCCCGCTGTTGGTTAATAGCGGAAACTTATAGAGTCACGAAAGCCATCATCCAAAAGATACAAGTGTTTATTAACATTTGTCTACTGAGGATCCTTTGGGCAGACACTATCCGCAACCTGCTATGAGGGAGAACGACCCAGATTCCAGATGAAGAGAAAATTAGTATAAAGTGTATAAAGTACATCACGAGACATGCTCTGACTTTTAATCCTCGAAGCCAAAGGAAAAGAAGAGGATCGAAGAACACTGTGTACCGAGAATGTGAGACGGACATGAAAATAAAGAACAGAAATTGGGTAGAACTGAAAAGGAAGGCTTAGAACAGAGTTGGTTGGGGAATGCTCCAATAAGTGTACCATGCGTAATGTATGTAGTTAACTGTTGGTTATTGATATATCAAAGGAAACGACACCGGACACACTTATGCTACCTAAGGCTAACAAAATGCAATCAAGGATAACGACGAACCTTTGCAAATGAAACCAGTTCATACCCGTTCCGAATTCAGCGGCTAAGTGGATCAAGTGTGAACTAGTAAAAGCGAAAATCACCTCACACAAGTCTCGATGTTAACACCAACAATCAGTTAACAAGACTCAGGCACGACAAACCATGCTTCCTGGACTATACTGACCAGCCCTAACCCATCTATTCTGCATATTGATTATTTTTAATGAGTCAATAAGAAATTATTCAACAGTTACATTCTCAGTTTAGTTATTAATATTGTTTCTTTAAACCTAATCATAAAATTCCTCACTGATTAATAATGTCTTAATATGCGTTATAGGTTACAGTTATAACTGTCATATTCATGTAATGAATTAATAAAATTATGATGACATTAAATTTTCAATTCACACAATGTTTAAACCAATCAAAATCTCATTTCTCATTGGATTATTTAAGAACTGTGTCACATTGAACACTATTCATATTAAATTAATATAAAAATAGAAAAAAAAAGATATTAGTTATTGTAATATACCGTGTTTGTGATTTATGTGCAACTGAGAAGATTATTTTTTATTATTATTAAAGATATTCTTCTTATTCCACAAACAGAATTTGAAAGGCTTTTCTTACAACAATCATAACACCGGAAGCACAAATCTTAGTGAATTGCCAGTGTTATTCATTACAGAAGTAAATAATAACAGAAAAAAACCTCCAAGCCACTTATATCAGTGAACGAATTTCTGCACTAAACATAATAGAAAATGGTCTCTGCTTCAAAGATTATTTATTTAATCTCTATACTAGTTGCCATTGCTTGTATTATTGTATCGATTGCCACTAATCCAACATGGAATGGTAAGTTCCTGCAAAAATATAATATCTCTTGGAGAATTATCCTTGATTCGTGATGTTTGTGATATTGTTTGCTTATTTTATCACTGTTATTAAACTGAAAAAATTGATGTGTACTATGTGAAGAGAATTTACCAGAAGTATAGAGTATTTGCCTATGATTAAAAAACACGTTTCGGTAGCATCAATGTACCCACACTTAAGTATGATTGAATAATTTAAGCTTTATCCCGGTGGTCAAGTTTGAATCGTTTAGTTAAGACTACAAGTTTACCTGAAAGCAAATGAAATGAAATGTTTACAACTCAGTGGAAATACTGAGGCAATCCTTTTGAAGTACATTTATGTAACATGTCGAAGAGACGAAACATTCGTTCAGTGCTTTCGACAATCTCCACAGCTCCCTACTGATAAAAAAATACTTTTAATTAACAGTACAAAAGACAAAGATACGATTTGGTTTTAAATATACATGTTTTTTTTTAAATTTGTATTATTGTCTACTTAAAAAATTTAAATTCTATTGTGCGCTCTTTTTTCCCCCCTAATATACATGATATAGATAGTTCAAATAATTCCTCATTGAGAGCTAACGGAGGACTTAGTATAGCTGGGCTGGCTTTGTTAGTCATAGCGGCTATTCTTGCCATTGTGTTAATCTGCAGAGATTATTCCAGAACCTTGGTGATTATAATACTGGTCTTGCTGATTTTAGCCCGTAAGTTTATAAAATTCTCTGTTAAACCTCTTACGAAAATTTGTTTAATTGTGATATATATATATATATATATATATATATATATATATATATATATAAATTCTGAAGCATTTTTCACGATATATACATGGTAGTCTAATAATTGTCAATCAAAGGAGAACGATATTGGCAAAAAGATATTCTCTGAAATCATTTGATCAATCAGTGTTGAGTATATTATCGATCATAAACCTTTTTTAGGCTTACTAGTTTCAAGAAACCACTCATTGTTTTGTACAAAAATGTTTGACTTTTCATCTAGTTCACTAAGTCGAACACAGTGTTGGTAAATTTTATATATTCACGTTTAGTTGATTGTGTTTAATTTTCCTCCTAAGTGATTTGAATGTATCAAGCATTCTACGACTTCTGAAGATCCTGATTTCGAATTCTGTCAGGATCGTCAGTGTACACTGTTGAGACATTTAAAACTAGCGTAAACTAACACTCCACTCTTCAGTGCTTTTTTCATTTGTCTGATCTTCACGAAATAGTTTTGTCTACATGAATTTTTCATGTATCAAGGTAAAAAAAAATTATTTAAGGAGTTAAATCGGTGAAAATAAAAAAAGAAGAATTTTCTTTTGCAAACAAGCTAATTTCTCAGTCTTTTTTTTTCAATATTATTTTATTAATATTACTTATAGTGATCTGCTTTATTATTGCATTGGCTATTTATGGTCAACAAATTAATTGGCAAGCATGGTTATTATCGGCTATGTGGGTAACGTTTATTTGTATTCTTATCGCAATAATGTTCTTACTAATTGATGACGATTAGATTGCGAGTGTTACAGTCGATCTTCATGGTTTCCTTACATAAAAATAACACACACACTATCTTACTTAAATCAATTAAACGCTTACTTTCAGTCACAAAAAAGTTATCTACATATATTTATATATATTTACTTATTCAGATGACCAGTAACTCTTCGATTGCTCTTTTGAATTAACCTCTCTGTAATTTATTGTAATGTAATTTTACTTCATTCTTGATTTCTTCTTTTGTTTATATATATAAATAAATATCAACAATAACAACAATTTATCTGTAGTGTGATAAGATTCTTTGCATTGTTAGGATACATAAACTTAATTGACTTTTCATTACTACGATAACATTGTTGACTTAGACTATCAGTGCTAGTGTGTCCAATGCACTGTAAGGGGTTGTCAAGTTTTTTTTTTCATATGTAATCACTATTTTTTTTTCTGTTTATGAAATAAAAATATATTGGTTTTTTTAAAAATAAATTAGAACTTGTCAAAAATTCTTATAAAAAAAAATAGATTTTTCAATTGCTGACTACCTATAAATAGATACATTTTTTAAAATCTGGCTATCAGACTCTGTTTGCAACCATGTAGATGTAAGTTATTCTTTCTTTCATCAAATGTACGAAACACAAGTCATGATCGTGTATGGAATGCCCATCAGTGAGTGATTAGTTTTAGATTATAAAAATTGTTCTCCTCACAAAAACATTTACCGTACATGATAAACTTCTTAATGGTAAGAAAAACGATTGTTACGATAGCAGAAACACTGTTATGATGTGCAATGCTGAGATTTAAACTTGATACACTCTAATTCTTAAAACTGATTATCTGAGTGAGAAGGCTGAATGGAAGAGAAAGTCTATCTGGCTACCGAACCAGATATATATATATATATACATTCACTTCCTTAGAAATCAATCTATTCCTTGACATCTTTGATGATCATCGCGTAACCTTCTCGTTCGGGCCACGTCTGGTTGACTTTCTTATGAAAAATAACAACTAGATATTGGTTAGTTCATAACAGTCATTTCGTTTTAACCCGTCCTCTAACATAAAGCTATTTGAACAAGTTTGTTTTAATACTTCAGTCATATATATGAATCGTATAATCTAATCCATATTTAAAACATTTACGAAGTGTCAGTTTATAAAATACAATGGCTGGCGATTTTTATAGTGAGCAGGAAACTTGTTCAAAATATTCTATGCCGCTAATCCGATATCGAATACATCTTTATAATTTAATATTTGCAAACTGAAACTTCATAGTGAATACAATTTAGGCTGATCTAAAACACAGTGAATAATTTCACACATACACACACACACTAACGATGGTGAATTATTCTAGTTGAGAAAAGTGTTATAAAATAAAAAATAATTCACTGAAAATTATTAATAAATTTGTTTTCTCATTGAAATGTGAATTATCTGAGTGTTGGAGATAATTGACTGACCTTAAGTTCAAATATTGAACATTTTACGGAAAAAAGAAAACGAAATTTAAAAAATACTATAAACATTTTTAAGGTTATTCAGTAAATTTATTTTTAGAAAATGATGATGATGATATTTCTCACGATTAATTTTCATTCATATAAGAAATAATTGTTTTATTTAAGTATTCAATTAAGTAATGTTTTGTGATAATTATTAATAGAGTTACATGGAAATGATAATAAGATCAGCTAATTAGAGACAAACGAAAGTAGGGAAGAACGAATAAGCAGGAAATGTATGAGGAAATGGATTATTTTGCACGAATGCATCCAGTGTAATCGATAAAATTGTAATCACCCTATGGAAGGTCGGCCATGTTTACATGATTGTCAACATAAATCTGTTTCAGAAAAAATCAATAACTTGATATAAATATTAAGAATAATTGTTATATATATGTGAGCATTTAGAAGATAAATAGATAGTTCATAAGTTAGAAGAGCGGGGCAATATTAAAGGATTGAAAAAAGTTTCACTACAAAATCATTTGTGTATTTATGATACTGAGATAAAAATAATGATTGAACAGATAGTTATTTGGAGATTTTGCTGTTTTTCTAATAAAAAATAATGTTTGACAAGTGAACAGGAACTGATCTGAACAAAAAAAACATTCATGTTACACCCTATTAGGTTAATTTAAATTCTGAAACTTAGTAAAGAATTCATTCCTTCAGTGTTGTCTGTGATATGTTTTTTGCTATGAGGTTGTAAATCGATTCCGACTTCTTAACAACGAAAAGAAGAACCATACTACTAGGTTTTCAATTGACATCCTAATGAACTATTTTTACAAGTATTTGGTCATTTCGTTTCGATATTATTTTCTTAGTTAAAATTCAATTGAGACACTTACATTTGTCTTGAATATGAATTTTTGAAAAAACACAGATTAAATTCCAAGTAACTGCTCCTATTCCGTCACTTACATTTCAATGGATTTTATCAAAATTAGAAGATAGTGAGTGCTTTTCAACAAGAAAGTGAAGTTATCACCGAATATTTCACAAACATGGACTTGCATAAGGTATATTTTTTTAAACTATCTTAATCATTCACTTGTTCTCTTAGCGTATTCTACACTAAATCCATAATTAAACAAAACAAAGTTAATAAAAAACGTGCTGAATAGTATACAGTTCAGCGATCATCTGACAACATACTTGTAATTTGAATTTGTAAATAGTCTAAATCTAGAAAGCAATTATCATTCCTAAACTTAACATGAATAGCGCGGAATGAAAATCAACAGTTTAAGTATTATCATGAAGAAATCTCTTTCGTTTTTGTTGTGTACTTGAATAAAGTGATAGCTGGAATTTTTATTTTGAAGAAACACTATGTTGATTTATAAGTTTGTTATTAGTGCAGAACTGATAGATAGATATATCTTTAAATATATCTCTATATATATTTAACGTGAATAGTTTGAGAGATGAATAATTTTATAAGTAAAACATCTCTCTATGAGATGATTATGACTATTAGAAGCCATGATGATAATAGTACATAAAGAAACAAAACAAAACATGATGAATCGATCGATAGAAGCGCGGAATAAAACTTCTCTTACACTTAGAAAGAGCGAATTCACTAGTCAACATAATCCTAATAATTTGGAACAAGTGAGCATGGCATGACATTCTTTCAGTAGAAAAGTCGATGATCAACTCAGATTTCAATTCTTCACTCATGCTCACTTTAAGTTGATCTAGTTCCATTAATGCAGTTTGACAAACAAATAAAAAATGTTTCAATAAGCATTTCAAACAGTGTGTTAATTTGTCATGATTTAAATTCCAACTGTCAATGAATAAAAAGTAGGTTAGTAGAAACGCAGAGATTGTTGTATATTTATAAATATATATATGTCAGTTACAATGTAAATGCATATAATTCATAATACATAAATTTTATTGTCAAAAATTTAGTGTTGAGTAACCTTAGCAAGTTCATTTTGTGTAAATGCATTTAATTCTAAGTGATAATTATTAATAAAGAGATTGATAGAATATTATTGAATGCTTAGTGAAAATATTTCACATTTTAATCAAATATTTCCAAGAATAGTTTTGAAATAATGCACAATAGTGAGAACGGCTGAACATGAATGATTATTGATGTGTATGTATATATTGTGTTTAAAAAACAAGGATTCAATGTTGAATTGTTCAAGCTAGATGCAAGAGATTTAATTATTTTGAAAAGTACATTATTATCATTATTAATCTAGTGAACGGAAAGCTGAAAATGTGTACTATTTCACATTATTCAATAAATTATATAGATAGATATAATTATGATACTTGCGTTTTGAATGCTGAGTCCCTGTGTTTGATTTAAACTTCATTACTTACTTACTTCCGTCTATTACCCCCAATGGAGCATAGGCCGTCGATCGGCACTCTCCAACCAACTCTGTCCTGGGCTTCCCTTTCCAGTTCTGTCCAGCTTTTGTTCATTCCTCTCACATCGTTCTCTATTTCTCAGCGTAATGTGTTCCTTGGTTTTCCTCTTTTCCTTTTGCTCTGAGGGTTCCATGTGAGGGCTTGTCTTGTGACGCAGTTGGGTGCTTTTCGTAGTGTGTGTCCTATCCACCTCCACCGCTTCTTCCTTATTTCCTCCTCCACTGGAATCTGGTTTCAACGTCATTAGTTATAGATATAGGAAAGTGTTTGTGGGGAAACTGTTGACGTCATAGTAACTTGTACATAAAAACGAATCCGAATTGCATTATAATACTATATATATATATATATATATATATATATATATATATATATATATATATATATATATTTATGAAAGTGAGCAAATCATCGACTGGTTTAATTTACTTACCTACTTTCGCCTGTTACTCCTCATGGAGCAATAAACGCCAACCAACATTCTACAACCAACTCTGTCCTCAGCTTGCTTTTCTAGTTCTAATCAATTGATATTGATTAATTTCATGTCTGCCTCCGATTCACATCTCAGTGTGTTCATTGGCCTACCTCTTTTTCTTGGTCCTTGAGGATTCAAAATGAGGGCTTGCCTCGTGAGTCTGTTGAGCAACTTCCACATTGAGTGTCCTTTTCACTTGTAGCGCTTCGTTCTTAGCTAGAATCTGGCTTGTCCTCTTCCACAGTAGGCTGCTACCGATGGTATCTGGAAAACAGTTCCACACTTTATAAATAAAACTTTCTTGACTATCGTATGACTTTGGTGTTGGTTGACAGTTGTTTTAAGTTCCAAACATTCTTGAGTTTTAGAAATGCTGCCATTCGTCGTCTCATTTGTCTTCACATCTTCATCAGATCGACCTTGTTTTCGGTGATACTACGTGGGTATATAAACAATTTCATGTCTTCCAGAGCGTCTCCCTAAAGTGTGACCAGGTTGGTGCATATTGTATTGTATCCGTCTCTCACATTCCATGTATCTATACTAATTGTTGCTCTTTCCTGTTAGAAGTGACTTAGTCCTCGTGATTTCCGAGAAAAGTCAAGTTTC